TGACGATTTCTTATAACTATTAAATAGCTAAAGCACTTGTATCTTCTTTGTGCCGTGAAGTTGCACTGATTGAAGGTAAAGACTTATAAATGTTATTATTTAATTTGTATATTATTTATTCGTAATTTTCTTCTTTTGATGATCGAAATTATTTGGAATCATTTAGGACCGCCGGGAACAGGAAAATCATATATTGGCGTTGGAATAATGCGTGCATTATTGGCTCCTGAAAATCGCAAGACGACAAAAATCGGGCCAATTTTGACAATATGTTATACTAACCATGCGTTAGATAACTTTCTTGAAGGTCTTTTATTTTTATTTTTGTTCATTTTCAATAATCATTATAATGACTGACATTTTAATTTTATGATGTAGATCTTTTAAAAAATGACATAGATAATATTGTACGAATAGGTTCGAGGTCTAAATCTGAAGTTATTAGCCAATTTAGTCTTGAAGAAAAATGTCGAAATCTAAAAGTTACAAATCGATGGTTAATAAGGCAGACCTATCAGGATCTTGACAGTATTATAAATGAGGCATCAACAATTAACACACAATTAACAAATAGAACCTTAAATCTCAATCAGGAAAGTGTGTCGAATTATTTCAGGGAAAATTATCACTTCGTTCATTTAGAGAATCCCAATATCCCACCTTTCCTATTGAATGATAATGATGATAATGAATTAGAATGGCGAAAAGCTAATGGAAAGAAAAAAACAAGGAGAAGGTCAGTGATCGAGCAATGGGTGAATGGTGACGATTTGACGGCGGCACAAAAATTTAAGGAATCCCTTATTAATCCCCGTAAAAAACTGGAGAAGGAAGAAAAAAGGAATGAAAATCAATTTATGCTTCTCGATGATGATGATGATTATGATGATTATGATGATTATGATGATTATGATAGTGATAGTGATGGTTATGATAGTGATAGCGATATTTATGAAGAAGAATCCGAAGAAGCTCAATTTAAGAATTGGATTCAAACTTGGCAAATGCCAACCACAAAGAGGAGTTTGGAAGTATTAAAGGTATTAGATTAGAATAATTGCATTGCTTTATTTATGATCTCATTTTATTTATTCTATTTTTTTTTGTAATAAGCATGGTTGTGATGTATGGGGAATGTCAAAAGATGAACGTGTAAGGTTACATGACTTTTGGAGGGAAGAAATTAATTTTAAAACCAATGAAAAGCTTTTGGATATTCAGAAAAGATACGTAAAAAAGAAGAAAGATCTTGAAAATATATATGACGACGGTTAGTAATTTATATATCATTTTCTTTTGATATTCATCACAAAAAAAATATTTCATCTAAGTTTTATTTTTTATACATTTATTATTCAAGGTCGACGTCAAGTTCTTCTTAATAGTGATGTCATCGGGATGACAACAACAGGCGCAGCTAAATATCATGACCTAATAAAGTAATAAAGTGATTATCAAAATCAAAAAAAGAATTTTGAAAATTCAAATGATTAAATAACTGTTCTTTTATATTTAGAAAAATTGGACCGAAAATTATTATTTGTGAGGAAGCAGGTAAATTTATTAAATTTCTAAAAAATTCTGTTATGTGATAATGTAATAATGATTGAATATTCTCGTGTTTATTAGGGGAAGTGCTTGAAGCACATATTCTTGCTAGCTTGACAAAAAGCGCACAGCATTTAATTCTTATTGGAGATCATAATCAATTGCGCCCCAAAATCAGTAATTATCTTTTATTTTATTCAGTTATTTGTGAATTATTCGTTTTCTTTTTTTTAAATAATCCTAAAAATTTATTTTTCATTATTTCATTAAAATATGCATAGACACGGTTAGTATTTTTTTTTTTTATATTAGAAAATATATTTACCAAATTAACTGTGCTAATTTTCTTCTACTCTTATAGTATTCTTTATCTTCTGAATCCAAAATAGGAAATGATTATAAACTTGATATTAGTTTATTTGAACGTCTTGTACATGGCGAACAGTCAATGCGTTTAGAAAGAACCCAACTTTTAACTCAAAGACGTATGAGAAAAGAAATTTCTGATTTAGTTAGACAAACACTTTATCCAAAATTAGAGGACAATCCAATTACGGAGAAATATCCTAAAGTTAAAGGGATACAACATAATGTATACTTTATGCATCATATTAATCCTGAGGATTCAACGAGAAATGAATTCGCCATTCAATCGCATTCAAATAGATTTGAAGTGGAAATGATAGTTGAGATGGTTAAAGTAATTATTAATAAAATAATAAATTATTATTAAAATATATTTTATAACTTATATAATAATATTTAATAGATTTAATAATTTTAATAATTCCTTTTTTTTTTAGTATTTTGTTAGAAATGGATATACAAAGCCTGAACAAATTGCTGTTCTTACACCATATTTAGGTACATTATTTATTAAATTTTTTTATAATAATGAGCATAATGTACCATATTAAAAATATTTATTATTAGGACAAATGCTAAAAATCAAAGAAGCGTTAAGTAAGTCATTTGCTGTCGTGATAGATGAACGTGATTCTGAACAGCTTACTGATTTGGAGGAAGATGGTGATACAGATCAAGTCGATCTTTCGCATGATACTATAAGTGTAGCATCAAGGAAAAGGTTAAATCAACAGGTTGTAAAAGTTAATTTATTTCCATTTATTTATGATTTCATTTACTAATATTCAAATCTCTTTAGGTGATCTTGCGTACAATTGATAATTTTCAAGGTCGGATAATTTTAATTATTTCTTGATGGTTTTTTTTTGAGAAATTTAAAATATTTTATTTAATAATTTATTTATTCACCTTATTCAGGCGAAGAAGCAGATACTGTTATTATATCACTTGTTCGAAACATAACAGAAAATAGCCGTAATACAATTGGTTTTCTAAAAACCAAGAATCGTACAAACGTTTTGCTTTCTCGTGCTAGACATGGAATGTACCTTATGGGAAATGCTGAACTTATGGAAAAAGAATCTGGAATGTGGAAAGATGTAATCAGCATCCTTCGTTCACGTAATCAAGTTGGACCAGGGTTTCCCATTGTGTGTGATCAACATCCAGAAACTAAAAACATCATAACCTATCCGGAAAAATTTAAAGAAACATCTCCGGATGGTGGATGTTTACTTCCATGCGGTAAAACTCTAAATTGTGGGCATAGATGTAAGTATTTCAAATTATACTTGTGTAAATATATATTGTGCGCATTATGTATATTAATTATAAAAACTAAATTTATTTTCAGGTCCACATAAATGCCACCCGGATGATCCAAAGTTTGTATTGAAGTGATTTTGATTATTATTGTTTGGATCAAGCTATCTTTTATTAATTCATTTTATACATTTCATTATAGTCACATTTCAATATTCTGTTCTAAACCATGCACCAAATTGCATAAGTGTCTTCATCCATGTATGTTTCATATTTACTTCTGTATCAAACGAAATAATTACAAAAATAATTACAATATTGTTATTGTAGGTAAACGGATGTGTGGAGAAGATTGTGGAGAATGTATATTCCCAGTTGGCGATCTTCTATTGCCCTGTGGACATATTTTAAAAGATGCGAAATGTTTCCAAAAATCTACTCGAGACAAAATTAATTGTCGTATTATGGTGAATAAAATGCTACGTAAATATTAATTATTCTCAAAACATTAAATAATTTCCAGAATATTTATTTTAATTCCTTCGATAATAATTATATTTATACATTTTACATCTTTTATTATTTAGCTAATTGTGAACATTCAGTTACTGTTGAGGTAAATTTTTTGAAGCAATATTCAAAATATTTATAATAATTCTTATATTTTTTTTTTTCATTTTGAAATTCTTTTAGTGTTACATATCTGTTTATGATATATCGTGCCAAAGCATCTGTGGCCTCTTTAATCCGGACTGTCATCATGAGTAGGAATTTAATAATTTTATGTACTAATCAAATTTTTTTTTTTTTTTTTTGTATTTCTAACCAATAAATTTTTAATTTACAAATTAGGTGTAAATCCTTATGTTCTAGCTGTCAAGAAATTTCTACCCATGCCAATGGTGGTCGTGGTCGTACTCTGAAACTTGACAATAATGTTCACATCGCTCGGACGCATCATGAAAAATGCAAACAAATTTGTGAAAAGATCCTCTTCTGTGGTCACTCGTTCGTATTTCATTATTAAGTAATTTATATGTCTTATTTTTATTTGTTATTAAATTATCAATGAATTCACAATTTTTAGGTGTGAAGAATCGTGTCATTTGAATAAAGATTGTCCGGGCTGTAAAAAAGAATGTAATGTCAACTGTAAACATTCAGTATGCAATAAGCCATGTAGTCATCCTTGCTCTGTGTGTGCAGAAGAGTGTGATTGGTATTGTGAACATAAAGGTGCTTGTGGGGTATCTTGTGGTGTTCCTTGTAACAGATTACCTTGCAATGAACGATGCTCAAAGTTATTAAGCTGTGGTCACCAATGGTAAGCGGTAATTTACAAAAGAATTAAATAAAATCGTTGGCTCACGCTCAATTAAAAATTTTACTAATTGTTATTACGTATTTAGTATGGGGATATGTGGTGAAAAATGCCCCTCTCAAAAATATTGTACAATTTGTGCACCTGATGATATCAAAGATTCTAGTAAGAACATGAATATTTTAAGATATTTAAAATATTTAATAATTATTTAATGTTAATATATTATATTTGTTTTATTTTGTTTGAATTAGTTGTCGATTTGATTACGCAAACAAGATTTGCAGAAGTTGATTGGACTACTGAGAGAATGATTGTACTTGAGTGTGGTCATGTCTTTACTGCCGATACCTTGGATAATATGATGGAGGTTTGTCATTTTACTTGTAATAATGTATTATACACGAATCATAATTCACAATTAACAATTTTACATTTTTTAATTTCAATTCCCAAAGATGAAGAGCCTTTATCATATGGACGACGCCATGGAAAATTGGATTGGCATAAAACAAATCACAGATCAACCAAGGAAATTTAAAACATGTCCGAATTGTCGAGCTCCTATTAAAAATATTCGGCGTTATGGACGAATAATTAAAAAATGTGTTCTCGACGTTCAAAATAAAAAGTTTTTGCTTGAATATAATCGACAGTTGAAAATTATTCAAGTAGAATTTGGAAATATTATTGAAAATTTGGAAAATAATCGAGGAAAAGTTTTAGAAAAGTATGGAAAATTAAAGTTACCCAATGCAAAACAAAAAAAAAATAACGACTCCTATAAAATAGATAAAATAGATAAAATAATCAATCGTGCAGTTCCCGTTATTGTTCCATCAAAAAAATATGAGATGCTTAAAAATTATTATTCAATACCAACTTATCATGAAAAATTGTGGCGGAAACATGTATCGCCTCTTCTTTTGAATTATCGTCAAGTTGCTCTTATAATATCCAATTCCACTAATCCGCCCTATAAACTCGTTTATGAATCTGCTGTAACAAGCCTGTAAGTTTATTTTATTTATTCCATCTTTCTGATTTTGTTTACATAATGATCATATTTCAATTATCTTTTATTAGATTTGCGGCAAAATCTAAAGAGAAAGTTAATATGGATAATCTTCTCAACAATATTTCATCATTACAAATTTCTGATGACTCTCCTGCTGTACAACAATCTAAATTTCAAGAGACTCTAAAGGAGGTTGGAATTTCGATATCTAAAGTTGACAGGTAAACACGAGATGTATTAAAAAAAAATGTCAGAAAATATCTTGTGATATATTAATATTTACCATAATTTCATATGATTTATTATTCAGAAAAATCTACTTAGCAGCATTTTCTGAATTAATCAATATTCA